GCGGCTGGATCGGCATCACCGACAAGTACTGGATGACCGCGCTGGTCCCCGACAGCGAGTCCGAGGTCGAGGGGCGCTTCCTCTATTCCGAGGAGGGCGGGCTGCCGAAGTACCAGACGGACTTCGTGTACCAGCCCACCGTGGTGCCGGCCGGCGAGAGCGCGCAGATCACCAGCCGCGTCTTCCTGGGCGCCAAGCAGGTCACGCTGCTCGACCGCTACGCCGAGGAGTTCGGCATCAACCGCTTCGACCTGGCCGTCGACTTCGGCTGGTTCTACTTCCTGACCAAGCCGATCTTCCTGGCGCTGCACTGGCTGGCCAGCGTGATCGGCAACTTCGGCGTGGCGATCCTGATTCTCACCGTCGGCATCAAGCTGATCTTCTTCCCGCTGGCCAACAAGAGCTACCTGGCCATGGCGAAGATGCGCAAGCTGCAGCCGCAGATGCTCGACCTGCGCGAGCGTTTCGGCGACGACAAGCAGCGCCTGAACCAGGAGATGATGGCGCTCTACAAGAAGGAAGGCGCCAACCCGCTGGCCGGCTGCCTGCCTATCGTCATCCAGATCCCGGTGTTCTTCGCGCTCTACAAGGTGCTCTTCGTCACCATCGAGATGCGCCACGCGCCCTTCTTCGGCTGGATTCAGGACCTCTCGGCGCCCGATCCCACCTCGGTGCTGAACCTCTTCGGCCTGCTGCCCTGGGATTCGCCCGAGCTCGGCCTGCTGAACGTGCTCAACCTGGGCATCTGGCCGCTGCTGATGGGCCTGTCGATGTTCATCCAGCAGCGCCTGAACCCGCAGCCGGCCGACCCGATGCAGGCGAAGATCTTCCTCTTCATGCCGATCGTCTTCACCTTCCTGCTGTCGACCTTCCCGGCCGGCCTGGTGATCTACTGGACCTGGAACAACACCCTGTCGGTGCTGCAGCAGGCGGTGATCATGAAGCGCGCCGGCGTGCCCTTCGGCAACAAGGGGCGCGACGTGCTGCCCAAGCACCTGCGCCGCGGCGGCTCCGCGGGCAGCGACAGGGAGGAGACGGACGACGAGGATCGCGAGGCGGAGGACACGGCCGGCACCGAGACGAGCGCCGCCGCGCCGGCCCCGAGCAGTTCCGCCCCGAGCAGTTCCGCCCCGAGCAACCCTGCCCCGAGCAACCCCGGGCCGAGCAAGCGCGAGCGCAAGCGCGCGGCCAAGGGCGGCGGCAAGCGCAAGAAGTCCTGAGGCGCCGATCATGCAGCCGGAGGCGGCGGCGCCGGACCTTGAGGCGGGGCGCAAGCTCTTCGCCGGCCCCTGCGGCTTCCTCGGCTCGGTGGCGGCGCTGACCCAGCTGCCCGCCGGCGACCTGCCGGAGGTGGCCTTCGCCGGGCGCTCCAACGTCGGCAAGTCGTCGCTGGTCAACGCCCTGACCGGGCGCAAGACCCTGGCGCGCACCTCCAACACGCCGGGCCGCACCCAGCAGCTCAACTTCTTCGACCTGGGCGGCCGGCTGATGCTGGTCGACCTGCCCGGCTACGGCTATGCCCAGGCCTCGAAGAGCGCGGTCAAGCTCTGGACGCGGCTGACCCGCGACTACCTCAAGGGGCGGGCGCAGCTCCGCCGCGTGCTGCTGCTGATCGACGCGCGCCACGGGCTCAAAGCGAACGACCGCGAGGTGATGGAGGAACTGGACAGCGTCGCCGTCGTCTACCAGGTGGTGCTGACCAAGGCGGACAAGGTGAAGCCGGACGCGCTGGAGGCGCTGCTGGCGCGCACCCGCGCCGAGCTGGCCGGCCACGTCGCGGCCTTCCCCGAGGTGGCGGTGACCTCGGCCGTGAAGGACCGGGGCATCGCCGAGCTGCGCGCCGCCCTGGCCGAGCTGGCCCTCGCCGCGCCCTGAGCCTCGGGCGCCGGGCGTCGGCCGGCACCTTGCCGGCGCCCGCGGGAAAGAAAGCGGCTGCTTTTCATTGCCTTAGGCGGCGGTGGCCGGGCCGGTCGCCGGCGCGAAGCGATTCCCTCGCGCGGCGTTCTGCTCTATGGTCCGGCGCGACGCCGGCCGCCGGGACGGGGGCGCCGCCGTCTCCAAGTCACAACGCCCGAAGTCCGCCCGCCAGCGGCAGCAGTGGATTGCCATGACCCAGCCGACCAAGAACATCGCCGAGACCAAGCACTGGCTGCGCACCGCGCGCACCCTGACCGAGGCGCTGCCCTTCATGCGGCGCTATGCCGGCAAGACCTTCGTCATCAAGTACGGCGGTCACGCCATGGGCGATGCCGAGCTGGCGCATGTCTTCGCCCGCGACGTGGTGCTGATGAAGCAGGTCGGGATCAACCCGGTGGTGGTCCACGGCGGCGGCCCGCAGATCGGCCGGATGCTGGAGCGCCTGAAGGTCGAGACCGAGTTCGTCGAGGGCCTGCGCGTCACCTCGGCCGAGACGGTCGACGTGGTGGAGATGGTGCTCTCCGGCTCGATCAACAAATCCATCGTCTCGGCGATCAACCAGGCCGGCGGCACGGCGATCGGGCTTAGCGGCAAGGACGGCAGCCTGATCCAGGCGCGCAAGCTGCGCCGCACCCGGCGCGACCCCGAGAGCAACATCGAGAAGATCCTCGACCTTGGCTATGTCGGCGAGCCGGTGCGGGTGAACCCGCAGGTGCTGGCGGCGCTGGAGCAGTCCGGCATGATCCCGGTGATCGCCCCCATCGGCGTCGGCGCCGAGGGCGAGACCTACAACATCAACGCCGACACCGTGGCCGGCGCCGTCGCCGCCGCGGTCGGCGCGGCGCGGCTGCTGCTGCTGACCGACGTGGTGGGCGTGCTCGACAAGCAGGGCGAGCTGATCCCCGAGCTGAGCCTGGCCGACGTCGAGCGGCTGCAGGGCGACGGCACCATCTCCGGCGGCATGATCCCCAAGCTGCAGACCTGCGTCGAGGCGGTGCGCGGCGGCGTCGACGCCTCGGTGATTCTGGACGGGCGCGTGCCGCACGGGCTGTTGCTGGAGACCTTCACGACCAAGGGCGTCGGCACGCTGGTCCGGCCCTGACCGCCAAGCGGCGCAGCCGCAGGACCGACCGCGCGGCGCAGCCGCAGGACCGGCCGCGGGAAAATTGTCGAGCGTCGGCAACCTTATAACCTGGACGGGCAGGGCGGGGGCGCCCACCTGCGCGCCATGACGCACACGCACGATTCCGGCCAGGCCCCAAGCCAGGACCCGGCGCGCGGTCACGAGCAGGGGACCGGCGGCGGCCATTCGCACGGCCATTCCCACGGCCACACGCACGGCCATCACCACCACGGCAACGAGCGCCAGGTCGGCCTGGCGGCGCTGGTGATCGGCAGCTTCATGCTGGTCGAGGTGATCGGCGGCCTGATCTCCGGCTCGCTGGCGCTGCTGGCCGACGCCGGCCACATGCTGACCGACTTCGGCGGCCTGGCCGTCGCCTGGGCCGCCTTCCGTCTGGCCCGGCGCCCGGCCGACCGGGCGCGCACCTACGGCTTCGACCGCGTGCCGGTGCTCTCGGCCTTCGTCAACGGTATCATCCTGATCGGGCTGTGCGTGTGGATCGTGGTCGAGGCGGCCCAGCGCCTGGCCGAGCCCAGTCCCGTGCTGGCCGGCCCCATGATGGCGATCGCGGTGATCGGCCTGCTGGTCAACGTCGTGGCCTTCTGGCTGCTGCACCGCGCCGACCGCGACAATCTCAACGTGCGCGGCGCCCTCATCCACGTGGTCGGCGACCTGCTCGGCTCGGTGGCGGCCATCGCCGCCGCCGGCGTCATCCTCTGGACCGGCTGGACGCCGATCGACCCGCTGCTCTCGGTCCTGGTCGCCGGGCTGGTGCTGCGCAGCGCCATCATGCTGCTGCGCGACTCCGGCCACATCCTGCTGGAGGGGGCGCCCAAGGAGCTGCGTCACGAGGCCATCGCCGCCGACCTGGAGGCCGAGATCCCGGAGCTGCGGGAGGTCCACCACCTGCACGCCTGGTCGCTGTCGGAGGAGCGGCCACTGGTCACGCTGCACGCCAGCATCGCGCCGGGCAGCGACCCGCAGCAGGTCATCCAGGCGATCAAGGCGCGCCTGGCCGAGCGTTTCGACGTCGATCACTCCACCGTGGAGATCGAGCTCGACGCCTGCGCCGACGCCGCGCTGCCGCGGGCGGCCCAGTAGCCGCGGCGCCGGGCGGGCTTGGCGCGACCTGTCACCGTCTGGAGGCGCCTCGACGCGTCCGCCGGTCACAGCCGGCTCTACACCTCCCGGGCGAGCTCGCTGACCAGGTCGCCGAACTCGCGCAGGAAGACCGAGCCCTTGACCGTGCGCTGCACCAGAACCGAGCGCTTGTCGGCCTCGTCGGTCTTGCGCTTGGCGAAGTCCAGGGCGCCCAGGCGGTCGAGCGCGCGGCTGACGGCCGGCTTGGAGATCCGCAGCGTCTCGGCCAGGCCGCGCACCGTGTGCGGCGGCGGCGCCATGTAGACCTCCAACAGGATCGCGAGCTGGCGCTGGGTCAGGTCGGGCCAGTCGCGCGCCAGCACCGCCGCGCCGGACGCGCGGTAGAGGGCGAGCGCCTGCTGCGGCGTCATCTGCATGGCCCGAAGTCCGCCGCGCCGCCGCTCACCGCGTGGTGACCACCGTGCACTTCGCCAGGCTCGCCACCTTGTGGGAGACGCTGCCCAGCAGCACCCCCTCGACGTCGCCCATGCCGCGCCGGCCGAGCACGATGGCATCGACCTTCTTGCGCTCGGCGAACTCCAGGATGGTGCGCGCCGGGTTGCCGGTCTTGACTTCCGAGCGGACCCCGCGCAGCCCCTTCTCCGCGGCGACGTCCTTGGCCTTGTCCATGATCGCCTCGGTATACTCGTCGAGCACGTACTGCGGCTCGCCCGAGAGGTGCTCCAGCTCGATGAAGCGGCGCACCTGCTCGCTCGGCCGCAGCTCCTTGGCCACGGTGAGCAGCGTCAGCTTGCCGCCGAACCTCTCCGCCAGCGCGCAGGCGTGCTCGGCCGCGTGCAAGGCATGCTCCGAGCCGTCGACGCAGCACAGGATGTTCTGAAACATGGGGTCCCCCACCCGCTTCGTTCTCCCTGCGTAACGAAGGCTACCACAGCGCGGCCGAGAGGGATACGCGGCGCGGCGCCCGGGCTCCCGGGTGCCGGCCCGATTTCTGGCGTGGGTTCCGGCCGGTTTTTTGCGCCCTCAGCGCCAGCCGCCGCGCGCCCCGGTCTCACGCAGCAGGGCGAAGAGCGCGCGCAGCCCCTGGGCCTCGCCGCCCTCCGGCCGGCCGGGGCGCGCCGAGGGGGTCCAGGCCATGAGGTCGACATGGATCCAGGGCACCGAGTCGGGCACGAAGCGCTCGAGGAACAGCGCGGCGGTGATGGCGCCGCCGAAGCCGCTGCTGGGGATGTTGCAGAGGTCGGCCACCTTGCTGTCGAGCAACCGCCTGTAGGGCTGGTGCAGCGGCAGGCGCCAGAGCGGGTCGTCCTGGCTGTCGGCCGCCGCCAGGGCCGCGCGCGCCAGGGGCTCGTGGTTGCAGAACAGCGCCGGCACCTCGGTGCCCAGCGCCACCCGCGCCGCGCCGGTCAGCGTCGCCATGTCGATCAGCAGGTCGGGCGCGTCGCGCCCGGCCTCCGCCAGGGCGTCGCAGAGGATCAAGCGCCCCTCGGCGTCGGTGTCGCCGACCTCCACCGTCAGGCCCTGGCGGGTCCGCAGCACGTCGAGCGGCCGGAAGGCCTCGCCGGACACGGCGTTCTCGACCGCCGGCACCAGCACGCGCAGGCGCAGGGGCAGGCCGGCGTCCATGATCAGGTAGGCCAGCCCCAGCACATGCGCGGCGCCGCCCATGTCCTTCTTCATCAGCTTCATGTTGCCGGCGCTCTTGAGGTCGAGCCCGCCGGTGTCGAAGCAGACGCCCTTGCCGACCAGGGTCACCTGCGGCCCGGTTTCGCTGCCGCTCCAGCTCAGGTCGAGCAGGCGCGGCGCCCGCGCCGCGCCGGCGGCCCGTCCCACCGCGTGGATCGCCGGGTAGTCGGCGGCCAGCAGGTCGTCGCCGACGGTGACGGCCAGGCGGCCGCCGTAGCGCTCGGCCAGGTCGCGCGCGCTGCCTTCCAGGTCGGCCGGTCCCATGTCCTCGGCCGGCGTATTGATCAGGTCGCGCACCAGGCCGACGCCGGCGGCCAGCCGCGCCACCTCGTCGCGGTCGACCGCCTCGGGCCAGACCAGGCGCGCCAGCGGCGCGGCGTCGTCGCTCTTGTAGCGGCGGAAGCGATAGCCGCCGATCGCCCAGCCCAGCGCCGCCGCCTCCGCCAGCTCGGGCGGCAGGTCGGCGCTCAGACGGTAGTCGCCGGCCGGCAGCTCCTGAGGCAGGGCGGCGAAGCTCCAGAGGTCGGCCGGCGCCTCGACGCCCAGCAGCACCGCCTCCAGGCGGCCGTCCCCCTGCGCGCCGGGCAGCAGGGCGCGCTTGCCCGCCTCGGCGGTGAAGTCCAGGGCCCGCACCCAGGCCGCCTGGGCCGGCGTGGCGCCGGCCAGCCAGGCGTCGAACTGCGCCCTGGTCATCGGGCGCAGCTCGACCGGTGTCGCCGAGCTGTCGATCAGGTGATCCGTCGCGGCGGGGGCGGCGGTGACGACGTTAGGATCGGTCATGACTCCCCAAGATTTCCTGCGGTTGTCTGTGAACGCGCGGCGCGCCAGAAATGAGGGCCGGAAACGGCGCCGCCCGGCGGGCGGCGCCTGCGGCGGCGGGAAGGGGCCAAGAATGTCAGACGTGCAGACGGAAATCACCACTGCAAAGGCGCAGGCGGAGGCCGCCGGGCCGATGACGCTGGTGATCGGCAACAAGAACTATTCCACCTGGTCGATGCGCGCGGCGCTGGCCCTGGCGCTGACCCCGGCCGAGGCCAGCGAAATCCTCATCCCCCTCGACCAGCCCGGGACCCGCGACGAGATCCTGGCCCACTCGCCCAGCGGGCTGGTGCCGGTGCTGATGCACGGTGGCGTGCAGATCTGGGACTCCCTGGCGATCGTCGAGTACCTGCACGAGCTCTTCCCCCAGGCCGGGCTGTGGCCGGCCGAGCGCAAGGCCCGCGCCGTCGCCCGCGCGGTCAGCGCCGAGATGCACAGCGGCTTCGCCGCCCTGCGGCGGGAGATGTCGATGGATATTCGCAAGTCGGCGCCGACGACGCCGAGCGCCGCCTGTCAGGCCGACATCGACCGCGTCGCCCGGATCTGGCGCGACTGCCGCGGCGGCTTCGGGGCGGAGGGGCCCTTCCTGTTCGGCCGCCCCTCGGCGGCGGACTGCATGTACGCCCCGGTGGCCGCGCGCTTTCGCACCTACGGCGTGGCGCTGGACGAGACCTGCCGGGCCTACGTGGAGACCCTGTTCGCCTGGCCGCCGATGCGGGCCTGGGTGGCGGCCGCCGAGGCCGAGCCCTGGGAGCTGCCCGACCACCAGTAGAGCCGGTGTCGCGTGATCGTATGGCCCCGCGGGCGCGGGACCATACGATCCCGACCTGCTCTCGTGTCCCGACTGCGAAAAGCACGGCATCGCATTTCGGCGCCGACGGGACAGGAGGCCTTTAATTTTCCCGTGAGTCAGGGGCCGAAGCGGCACCGTGGCCAGTGCCGAACTGCGGAACCATCACACGAGGCGCGGCGGCGCCGGCTCACTCGCCGGGCGTGCCGGCGTCGGCCGGCGTGGCCGGGGCCGTCCCCTCGACGGGCGCCCCCTCGACGGGCGCCCCTTCGACCGACGCCCCCTCGGCCCCTGCTGCGGCGCCTTGCGTCTCCTCGCCGATGTAGGTGATGCCGCGCGAGGCGTAGTAGGCCAGCGCGCCCGGATGCAGCGGCACGCCCAGGCCGTTGAGGGCGGTGTCGAGCTGGATCAGCCGGCCCTTCGGATGCCCGGTGTCGAGCAGTTGGCGCGAGGCCGGGTGCCACAGCGCGGCGGTGATGCCCTCGATCAGCGCGTCCGGCAGATCGGCCGAGACCAGCCACTGCGCGCCGACGCTCAGCGTGCGGGTGGCGGCGACGCCGCGGTAGGTCCCGGCGGGGATGGTGGTGTGGTTGAAGAAGGGCCAGCTCTGCTCGATCGTCTCGGCCTGCGCGCCGACGATCGGGACCAGTTGGATCGCGGTGCTCTCGGCCAGCCCGGCGATCGCCGCCGTCGGCGTGCCGGCGACCAGGAACAGGCCGTCCAGCTCGCCCTGGCGCATCTGCTCGACGGCGGCGCCGGAGGAGAGGAAGCGGGCCTCCAGGTCCTCGACCGCCAGGCCGTAGGCCTGCAGCACCAGGCGCGTGTCGACCAGCGTGCCGGAGCCCTCGCGGTCGACCGAGATCCGCTTGCCGGCAAGGTCGGCGACCGAGCGGATGCCGGCATCGGCGCGCACCACGAGCTGGATCGCCTCGGGGTAGAGGTTGGCCAGGGCGCGCAGCTTGGTCAGCGGCGTGCGGCCGGCGAAGACGCCCTCGCCGTGATAGGCCCAGAAGGCCACGTCGGCCTGGCAGAGGGCGGACTCCAGGGTGCCGTTCTCGATCGCCTCGACGTTGGCGACCGAGCCCTCGGTCGACTGGGCGACCGCGATCAATCCGGGCACGCCGCAGCTCCCGCCGCGCGCGCAGTCGCGGCTGCCCGGCGGGTTGGAGATGGCGCTGGCCAGCAGGCTGCCGATCGGAAAGTAGGTGCCGCCGGTGGAGCCGGTGCCGATTCGGAAGAAGCTCAGGTCCGCGGCGGCCGCCCGGGCTGAACCGGCCCGGCCGGGCGCGGCCGGCGCGGCGCTCAGCAGTCCGGCAGCGGCGAGGCGCGTGATCAGATCGCGGCGGGTCAGCGGCATCGAAGCGGGGGCCTTTCGCTCTCTCGGGGACCGGTCCGCCGAGTATGGCCCGGCGCGGCGCGGAAGGGAACGGCCGCGCCCTTGCACCGGCATGACCGGCCGGCGGACAATGCCGCGGCCGGCCGACGCGCCGGCCCTCTCACCGTGGTACGCGGAGCCGCGCCGCCATGAACCTCGCCCAGCTTCTCGTCCGTGCCGCCCGCAGCCGGGGCGAGCGGGCCGCCGTCGCCCGCGGCGCCGGCATCGTCATGACCTATCGCACCCTGGCGCGTCGCGCCGCCTGCCTGGCGGCCGCCCTGCGCGGCCGTTTCGGACTGCAGCCGGGCGAGCGGGTGGCCTTGGCGATGAAGAACGCGCCGGCCTATCTGGAGCTGCTCTACGGCTGCTGGTGGGCCGGGCTGGTGCCGGTGCCGATCAACGCCAAGCTGCATCCCAGGGAGGTCGCCTACATGCTGGGCAACGCCGGTGCGCGGCTCTGCTTCGCGAGCCCGGAGCTGGCGGCCGGCATCGCCGGGGAAAGCGCCGGCCTGGACTCGCTGGTCGAGGTGATCGACGTCGAGCGGCCGCTCTACGCGGGCCTGTTCCAGGGCGACCCGGTCGAGCCGGCGGTGTGCGCCATGGACGATCTGGCCTGGCTGTTCTTCACCAGCGGCACCACCGGCCGACCCAAGGGGGCGATGATCACCCACGGCAATCTCTGGACCATGACCGCCTGCTACTTCCCCGACGTGGACGCGGTGGCGCCGGAGGACGCCACGGTCTACGCCGCGCCGATGAGCCATGGCGCCGGGCTTTACTCCCTGCCCTACATGGCCCAGGCGGCGCTGCACGTGATCCCCGAGTCCGGCGGCTTCGAGCCGGAGGAGTTCCTGCGGCTGTTGGAGGTGCACCGCGGCCTCGGCGCCTTCTTCGCGCCGACCATGGTCAAGCGCCTGGTCGAGCACCCGGCGGCCGGCGACGCCCGGGTCGAGCACCTCAACACCCTGGTCTACGGCGGCGGGCCGATGTACCGCGCCGACCTGACGCGCGCCCTGGAGGTCTTCGGCAACCGCTTCGTGCAGATCTACGGCCAGGGCGAGAGCCCCATGTGCATCACCGCGCTCGGCCGCGACCTGCACGCCGAGCGCGACCACCCCGACTACGCGCAGCGCCTGGCCTCGGTCGGTCGCGCGCAGATGCTGGTCGAGCTGCGCGTCGCCGACGCCGAGGACCGCAGCCTGCCGCCGGGCGAGGTCGGCGAGGTGCTGGTGCGCGGGCCCTCGGTGGTGCCGGGCTACTGGCGCAACCCCGAGGCGAGCGCGGCGGCCCTGCGCGGCGGCTGGCTGCACACCGGCGACCTCGGAACGCTGGACGGTGACGGCTTCCTGACCCTGAAGGACCGCTCCAAGGACGTGATCATCTCCGGCGGCAGCAACATCTATCCGCGCGAGGTGGAGGAGGTGCTGCTGCAGCATCCCGACGTCGCCGAGGTGACCGTGATCGGCCGGCCGCATCCGGACTGGGGCGAGGAGGTGGTGGCCGTGGTGGTCCCGCGCGGCCCCGAGGCGCCGGGGGCGGGCGCGCTCGACCGGCTCTGCCTGCAGCGGATCGCCCGCTTCAAGCGGCCCAAGCGCTACCACTTCGTCGCGGCCCTGCCGAAGAACGCCTACGGCAAGGTGCTGAAGACCGAGCTGCGCCGCCTGCTGGACCGCGAAGAGGCGTAGGGAGGGGCGGCCCGGCGGAGCCGTCTTGCGGGGCAGCCGGCGACAGCCGGCGCTCGCCTTACAGTTCGCCCGGCGTCGGCCGCCGCGCCTCGAAGCTGAGGATGTCGTCGTCCTGGCGCGGGGCGTGCCCGTGCCGGTAGTTGCCGGACGCCACCACGTCGACGAAACCGGCCGCCCGCAACGCCAGCGAGACCTCGTTGACGCCCCACCAACGCAGTTTGAACAGCTCGAGCTCGCTTGCCATCAGGTTGCCGTCGCGCCAGTGGTCGTAGCGCAGATGGGACAGGGTGGTCTGCGCGACGTAGTCGGTTTCGACCCGATGCTCGGTCAGCGTCAGCAGGTCGCCCTCGTCCGTCGTCCAGCTTCGGATCGAACCGGACGGCCCGAGAAAAGCGCCGATGGGGTCGAGGTCGAGGAGCAGCTTTCCGTTCGGCGCCAGGTGCGCGTAGAACCGCGTCAGCACCGCGGCGGCCGCGCCTGCCTCGGTGACCAACTGAAGCGACCCGGCCGGAACGATGATGGCGGCGAAGCGCGTGTCGTAGGAGAAATCCTCGAAGCGCTGCTGGGTCAGCGCCGGGCGCAGGTTTCGTCTGCGGCAGGCCTCCCGGCAATAGCCCAGCATCTCGGCCGAGGCATCGAAGCCTTCGATCGGAAAGCCGGCCTCGAGCAGTGGCACGAAAAGGCGGCCGTTGCCGACGGCGGGCTCCAGAATGGGGCCGTCGTCGCAGTGCTCTAGGCGCTGCCGGTAGTAGGCCTGATCCCCGAAGGAGTGCCCGACCGGCTTGTCCAGGTCGTAGACCCAGGAGGCCAGTCTGCCGTAGCGATTCTGCATGTCTTTCCTGAAGTTGGGAGGGGCGAGCGTCGTACGCGGGGACGCCCGGGGGGCGGCCGGGCTGGGGGGCCGGGCTGGGGGACCGGGGGCGGGGACGGAGCGCGGGGACTGGAGCGCGGGGACTGGGGTCCGGGGACTGGGGACCGGGGCGCGGGGACCTCAGCCGTGCCTGTCCTCCGGCGGTTCCGCCTCGACCTGCGTGTCGGGCGGCCCGGCCGGGCGCCGGCGCCGGCCGAAGCGCTCGGACAGGCCCTCGATGCGCCGCAGGTAGGCGTCGAGCTGGGCCATGGTCTTCGACTTGTCCAGGCTCTCGTCGCGCAGCCAGACCCGCAGGGTGGCGAGGTAGATGCCGACCAGCCCCTGGACGCGCAGCAGGCCGCGCCAGCCGTCGGTCGGGATCTGCGCCGCCTCCAGCATCCAGGTCATGGAGCGGCCGAGCTGGGGCAGGCCGCCCAGGGCGGCGACCGGGTCGGCCCAGACGTCGGCCAGGATGTTGCCGATGGCCTCGCGATGGGGCTCCAGCGCATCGAAGCGCCGCATCATCACGTCGAACAGACGGTCGCGCGCCGGGCTATCCTCGAGCCCCTCCAGGTCCTCGGAGAGCACCTCCGCGTCGAGGCGGCGCGAGAAGGCGGCCAGGATCTCGGCCTTGGTGGCGAAGACGGGGTAGAGCTCGGAGAGCTTGAGCTCCGCCGCCGCGGCGATCTCGCCGAGGGAGACGTCGCGCCAGCCGCGCGCGGCCGCCAATGCCAGCGCGGCGTCGATCGCGGCGCCGGCGATGTCGCGCGGCGGCGCGGCGCCGGCGCTCTTGGCCCCCGCCTTGGCCGCGCCGGACGTGGGCGCGGTCTCGGCCCCGGTTCGGGCGTCGGACTTGGCCCCGGTCTCGGCCCCGGTCTCGGCCCCGGTCTCGGCCCCGGTCTCGGCCCCGGACTTGGCCCCGGTCTCGGCTCCGCTCTTGCTGCCGCCGGGCGCGCTGGCGGGGGCGCGCTTGCTCTTGCCGCCGGTCTTTGTCTTCGCGGTTCGGGCGCCGCTTTTCGCGGGCTTGGCATCGGCCATGGGGCTGCCTCGTGCGGATGGCGTCTGACTGACTGAAAACGTAGGGCGCGGCCGTCGCTTCTCCCACCCCCCGGGGCTGCAAGCGGGGGCGTCGCGTGACCCGCCGCCCGGGCGCGGCGGCCGGGCGCGGCCCGGTCTAACCCCCCTCTAGCCCTTGCGGACCGGGCCGACGCGGCCTTCGGTCAGGCGCACCAGGGAGTCGGGCGTGACGGCGAAGACGGCGTTGGGCGTGCCGGCCGCCGCCCAGATCTCGCTCAGCGCCATCAGGTCCTCGTCGAGCGCCACGAGGGGCGGTGTGGCGTGGCCGACCGGCGGCACCCCGCCGATGGCGTAGCCGGTGGTCTCGCGCACGAAGGCCGCGTCGGCCTTGCCGATGGGCTCGCCGACCAGGGCCGCCACCTTCTTCTCGTCGACGCGGTTGGCGCCGCTGGCCACCACCAGCACCGGCCGCCCGCTCTGCTTGCCGCGGAAGATCAGCGACTTGGCGATCTGCGCGACGCTGCAGCCGATGGCCGCCGCCGCCTCCTCGGCGGTGCGCGTCGAGGCGGGGAACTCGCGCACCTCCAGGGCGACGCCCTTGGCCGCCAGCGCGGCCTGGACGCGCGCCGCCGCCGCCTTCAGGCCCACGGCCGCGCCCTCACGAGGCCAGCTCGCGGCTGCGCCGGGCGGCGGCCGCGATGGCTTTGGTCATGAGCGGCTGCAGGCCGTCGTCGTCCATCAGCACCTTGAGCGCCTCCAGGGTCGTACCGCCGGGACTGGTGACGTTCTCGCGCAGCCTGGCCGGGGAGTCCTCGGCGCGGTGCACCAGCTCGCCGGCGCCGGCCACGGTGACCCGCGCCAGACGCTCGGCCAGCGCGGGCGGCAGGCCCGCCTCGGCGCCGGCCTTGGCCAGGGTCTCGATCAGCAGGAAGACGTAGGCCGGGCCGCCGCCGGACAGGGCAGTGACCGCGTCCATCTCGGCCTCCGTGTCGATCCAGGCCGTCTCGCCCACCGCCGCCATCAGCTCGGCGCAGAGGGCGCGCTGGGCGTCGCCCACCTCCGGCGTGGCGTAGAGCACCGACATGCCGCGCCCCACCGCGGCCGGGGTGTTGGGCATGGCGCGCACCAGCGCCACCGGGCCGCCGTCCGGCGCCAGCAGGCCGGTCAGGCTGTCCACCGTCTTGCCG